TTTTTTTCTTTTGTTTATTTCGCGGTAACATTTTATTTTCGCGATAGCCCAGCTTTCGCCATTTACACACTCGCATGATATTTTATTTGATTGAAAAAAACACCAACAAATAAACAAGAGACCGTATGCAAGTCTCATTTATAGTCCACGTCACCAATATTGAGCCAGGGGCTCATAACTTACGATTCATTTCCTAAGAAATGAAATAACTTCTTATAAGGAGCTTTCTGAACATATGTGCATATATAATCCGATTATCAACTTACATAGTACGTACACATCTATCCATGACACTCTAATACTTAACTATAATACTTAAATAGTACATCTATTCTTATAGGTTCTTAAGCTACTAGAGGCTAAATATCCAGGAGTTTACACCAATCAAAACGTGGCATTCAGCGGTCAGCACACACACTCTGGTCCAGGTGGATATATGCAATACCTCTTGTACGATGTTACAACGATAGGATTCAATGAGCAAAGTTTTCAAGCCATAGTCGATGGACTTTTTCTGGTAAGACACCATTATTAAAGGGCGCCAGTCGTCGTGCCGCGCCCTGTTCGATGTGGGACTCATAGCGACGTATACAACGCGTGTAAAATACATTGTTTATTTACATGAAATCGAACACGCGCTGCGCGACGACCACCGCGCTTTAAGCAAATACGTGTCTACGTACCACTCTATCAATAGTTCCCTCCACTTCATACACCTCACGTTGTTTAAATCACATATTAAATAATTTAGTATCCTGTCTGTTTATTTGAAAATTGAAAGCAAACCACCTGGAAGTTGGAAGAACACCTTGTGACTGTTCTAATGAATCACCATGTATTATTTTTCCTCGTAACCATAGAGCATACAAAGAGCACACAATAGCATCCAACCTGGATACATTTATATGAACAAAGGCGACGTAGTGGACCCTACTGGAGCCGATTCACACTGGGCAAACAGAAACAGAAGTCCAGCAAGTTATGAGGCTAATCCACAAGAAGAAAGAGACAAGTAATTACATAATATATAAAACAACCGCAACCATTTATTGTCACTCAATCAGTAAAGTCAAGTAAAGCATAGTAAAGAAACACTAAATTGTATTCATTGTTTCTGTCACACATGTTAACCTGACTCGAGGCGCGACAACTGTGTCGCTATGAATGTTATATACTCTTCTTCTATGCAGGTACACGTATGACGTAGATAAAACCATGGTATTGCTGAAATTCGTTGCTGAAGATGGTAGAGACATTGGAGCACTGAAGTAAGAACATTGCGATACATGCAGCCTAATGTATTCAACATTTATTGTTTTGATTTTGTTACCCAAAACATAGACGTAATTTGATAATGATTGACTGATTGTATCTTGTAGTTGGTTTGCTGTCCATCCAACCAGTATGAATAATACCAATCACTTGATTAGTGGAGACAACAAAGGTTATGCTGCTTATCTAATGGAACGACATTTCAGTCCAGACAAAAGACCAACAGATGAAAATGTGGGTAGACTGGTTTTGTTGTTAGTACACTTAGTTTGGGAAGTATGGTGAGAGTGACTTAATCATAAACTAACATTCGTTAGCTAGGATTAGCTGTAAACCACACTTTCAAAAAATTGGCAAATAAAAAAAAAATCAGGAAGTTCATATGTTTTGAGTTGTTGAAACGTATGTTTTTTTTATAGATTTTGTTTTCAAAGAATGCAAAGTAAATTAGTAGACTAACATATCTCAATGTAATGGCTATATATATATTGCAGATTTTTGTAGCAGCATTTGCTCAAAGCAACCTAGGTGATGTCACACCCAATACAAAGGATCCTCATTGTTATTATGCCGGTGAAGATAGCCATTGTGACTATTTGACGAGTGATTGTCCAGATAAGGTAGGGATGGGGGAACTACGGGTGATTGTCCTGACATTGTAAGATGGAAGAACTATGGGTGATTGTCCTGACATGGTAGGATGGGAGAACTATGGGTTATTGTTCTGTCATAATAGGATGGGAGAACTGTGGGTGATTGTCCTGATATGGTATAATAGGGAGAAATATGGGATATTATCCTGACATGGTAGGATATAGAGAAATATTGTGTGATTGTTCTGAAAGGATGGATGCGGAAAATATGGGAGGCTGTCCTGATATGGTAGGAGGTGGGAGAAATATGGATGATTGTCCTGACATGGTAGTTGGCAAAACTATCGGTGATTGTCCTGACATATTAGGATGGAAAAATTATGGGTGATTGTCCTGACATGGTAGAATATACAGAACTATGGGTGATTGTTCTGAAAGAATGGATGCGGAGAAATATGGGCGATTATCCTGACATGATAGGATGGAAGAACTATGGGTGATTGTCCTGACATGGTAGGATGGGAGAATTATGGGTG